GTGAATTATGATGCTTCTAAATCAAAAGCTCCCTTTTACCCTTAAGTGGTACCACGTATTTATTGATGTGCTAAACAGTTTCAGAAAAGCAGGTGGTATGCATGCAAATAAAATAATAAGGCCAGATTTAGCTGCAGCTCTTGTGGTGTGGCCTAGCTCAGTGTTTCTCAAAATATAATGTGCCTCTGAGGATATTGCTAAAATGCAGAATCTGTTTCAATAGATTGGACTGGGCACTGAGATTTTGCATTTCTAACAAGCTCCCAGATGATAGCGAGGCCACTTGTCAGGGGCTATGCTCTGAAAAGCAAGGCTTAGATTGACATTCCCCAAAGTTTGTTTCACCTAACTTTGAGATACCTTATGAGAAGGAACAGCTTTACCAGGAGTGGCATGTTCTCTCCTTTCTTAGATTTTGATGGACATGAGCACCAAAAAAAATCACTTAGTAAGGAAGCAAACGCAATTTTGTTTTATTGTGATAAGAAAAATCCACATCATTAAATCTGCCCTCTTAAATTTTTAAGTGTAAAATACACAGTACAGTTTTGTTCACTGTAAGCACAGTGTTGTGTAGCTGATCTCTAGAACTTTTGTCTTGCATAACTGAAATGTTATACCCAGTGAATAGCAATTCCTCCTTTGTCCCTCCCCTAAATGCTGGCAGCCACCATCAACTTCTGTTTCTGTGGGTTTGAATACTTTAGATGCCTCATATAAGCAGAATACAAGATTGCTTCACTATAGAACACTTCAGAATGCTTGGCAGATATATAAGTACTCATCATAAGTAAGAATATATTATTTATTGAAAGCAGCTAAATCCCTATCAGATTGGCTATTAATACTTGAATGGTTTGGTATGGCATAGTCATGTTTTTCAAGCTTATATGAACACAAAAAAGATAAAATATTTGTGATATTTTAAAATAAAATTTATAATTTAAAGTAAATACTTCAAAATTACAAGCATCATAGTTTGGAGGGAAGTTTTGTAGTCAGGTGGACATGAGTTTGATTCCCGACTTTATTTGTTATACAACTTGAGCTAATCAACTCAAGTAATATATTGAATCTTTTTAAGCCTCACTTTTCTTTCTCTGAAAAGAGACTTTTGTAGTATCATCACTACTATAGAATTTTGATGACAATTAAAAATAACACCATGCCCTGTAAAAAGGGGGCAGTCAGTAAATCAATAAACTGTTGCTCTTTTATGATTATCTATACCAAATGATGAAATATGAGGTTGGTGAATGCCATAAATAATGTGTTTCTATTACTACCTAGTAACATAACATAACATAACATAATATAAAGTAATATGAAAAACTCTACTCTGTGATTAAAATCATGTTTTGACATGCTTTATGAGCTCTTTTTGTATTGATTTTTGATAATATGCTTTCAAAATTATTGGCAGATCTACTCTTTGTACTTCAAGCTGGATAATGGAAATGATTTATACCATTTTATTGAATTTACAATGGTTAGAGTAAGCCACGTTAATTATTGCTATGTCATTTTTGCAGACTAGCAGGAACTGAGACAAAACATAAGCCAAACTAAATGTAATTATCATTAAAATGGCTCAAGTATGAGAAATCATCTAATGGGTCACGAATTGTCTTATTTTTATAAACAAAAGAAGATAATGCTTGTTTGCAAACATTCATTTTCATTGCTTTTCCCCCATTTTCTGAAATATGAGAGGTGTTTATGTCCCTATCATATTTCTTAAATGTTTTTTGTTATTGACATTACAGCCTACACTGTCATGAATAATGAATCTGACTTTTAAAAGTAGGCAATGAAAGCTACAATATCTTACAGGACGAATACCAGGTGCCCATAGCCCTGAAAAGCCGTCATTTTTTTTTCTTTCCAAACATATGTTATTCAAAGTCAGTAAGTTTTCTGGTCCATTCATTGTTTTTAAAGTATAAATCTTTTTTGTCTAAGTTTAGTAAATTTAGGTTGAATTTAAGAACAAATTTAACCAAGGAAGAAATATTTTAACAGAGAAATTTTATCCAACTCCTGTTCAGTAGACCTTAGGTGAACAGTAGTAAATAGTTAACACTCACCATAACTGTAAGAAGAGGATCTAAACAATTAGAAAACAGACAGAAAGAAGAAATTTTAGAAAAAAAGAGTGGAAGGAAATTGAAGGCTTTGTAAGTAGTAATGTAGGGAAGGTGCTGTAATCATAATGGGCTTGGGGTAGAGCAGATAATGATGGAGGGAGATTAGGCCTTCGCCTTGATGGACAAGGCTTCTGTTCATGTGGTAGGAGCTGAGAGGTGCCAGTGGGGGAAAGCTAAGACCATATTCCCTGTATATATGCTGGAATTCAGTTCTTCTGTTTCTAGTGACACTGTGACAGCTTCCCCAGTGGATTTCTGTAAGTGAAAATCAGAGACAAAGAGCTTTTATAGGAAGGATTCCTGAAATCACAGGCTGATTCCAGAAAGCATAGGCCTTTTCCTGGTTTGATCAGGACTGGTGTTCAGCAAGTGTGTACTTTTTTGGCTCTATTATATGTACATTTAATGAAATGCTTCTATCCTATTTGATAAAAAGCTGAAGCCAGGGTTATCCACATAGCCTTTTTATATGCCTAACTCAGCTTTGTCTCTGAAGTATTTCTGAATTCCTGAAATCAGGCAGATGAAGAGGTGATGTCTGGTACAGCAGGATTGTCCAGTATTCCAGCAATATGGTGCTGTAACTTTAGACATGTAGGTCCCTGTCCAAAGCAGGTATCAAATATTTTGGCTGTCACCCTTGGGGAAGCATATTAGTTCTAAACTTTTAAAAGAAAAGCTTGAAATAGGCTTCAACAGTAAGAAAACCCTGAAATAGGCTTCAAGATATGAGACTGGAACCAAATGGGCCCAAAGCAGAATTTTGTCTATTTAGCATTTGTCTGAGGTTCATTGAAAGGAGTGCAGCAATATCATTAAAATGAAATAAAATTAGAAACCTATCTTAATTCTTGAACTTAGATTACAATCATACAAAGGAGAAAAAAAAACATTCATAATCTTTTTTTTTCTCTTGTGCTGTCATGGCCATTTACAAATACAAATACAACCATAAGTCATTCTTTTTTTTTTAAACTAAGGTATTATATTTCCAGTCAGTTTCAAAATCAGTATTCCTCAACTCATCTCTTGTCACTCCCTGAATTACAAAGCAAAATCCAGGCCTCTGGCCATGTTTGAACTTGATGAGCTCTATCATGACAAGATGCCTTGGCACATGCTGCCTCTTCTTCCTGGAATATCTGTCACCTTTTATTATACCAGTGACCCTTTCAAGGTTCAAATCAAATGACATCTCCAATACATATTCCCTACATATGTGATGTTTTACCTAATGGAGGCGTAGCAAATAGATGACAAATGAATTATTTGAGACAAACTTTTTTTCTAACTTTTACAAAATTTAAAGAGGAGAGAAATGTTACCTGCCTTTGGAATATTACTTGTGACATTCCATTAAAAGAATAATGGTTCTAAAGTATTTTAAAAGAAGATAATGATCTGAGTGAGAAATTAGACTGACCTACCTTATTATACTAAATAGTGAGTTTTAAGTGATTTTTGGGTTGAAAAATCCTTTTTCTTCCTATTATTTCTTTTTAACATGTAACTGTCTAATTTTCTATATCTTTGTTTACATTTTGGGATAATGGTGTATGAATAAATACGCACGTTCTAATTCTGTGACCTGAATGAATCACTTTTCAAGTGAAATACAGATGCCCTTCTGGAGGATGCCATTAAGTTAATTACAGCACATTTCATAATTGTATAGGCCTTCTTTCCCTCTATAATATAAAAAAATTACTAGATATAAAACATAGAATTTTGCTATCATAAGGTCTTTTTTTACTTCAAAATAGTTTAAATGAACACTAAAATTTTATGAAGTTTATACTTTTATTTTAGAATAAAAAGGCACATTTTAAAATATAGTGAAGTTAATGTGGAGTGATAAAACTAACAATCATGTTTTAAGTATTTCCTCATATAACAAAGATTTTTGGTCTCATATTTTTCATAAGGGATAAAATATGATCTGTTTTCTTGGTCCTCTTACAGCTAGCAAGGAAGTTAACCCACAGATACAAAGTCAATAAGGTTTATAGAATAATAATACATAGCAAATTCTAAGTGGTAGGCATTATTCTAAGTGACCTGGGTAACTCTATGACTTGGCAGATACTCACAACAAATTAGTATACAGAGATAAGAATTGATTTGCCCATGATCACATGATAGTAAATGATTGATCTAGGATACAAAGCCAAGCCGTGTGGCTCCAGTTTGTCCAGCTGTACTTCTGTCTCAGACGTGAAAAGAATAGGGCCTCGTCCATCAGAAATGATGATTGCAAGAGAAATTTCCAGACAGCAAGAGAAAATAGAACAGGATTTTGAAGAATGAAAACAATTGGATTGATAGAGACTGTGTGTGGCAGAGAGGGAAAAGAGAGGTAGCCGTAAGTAAAGGAGTTATAAGAACATAGAAGTAAAGTTGAGAAAATACAACATCTGTTCAAAGGATCTTAAACAGAGCACTTAGACTAGATAGTTTTTATTTAGAACTGTGAGAAAGAGGAATGTGTTTGCATGTTTGCAGTGCTTTGCTAAATATTATTTGGCACTTTATATCATTATCTCTATAAAAATAAAATTCATCCTAAACTCATTTTCTACATAAATTGATTTTGATGTTGAAAATTCTGTATTTTTTGTATCTTAAGTGTCAATCTTTATCATTTTCATGATACTTTCCTCTCACTGACTCCACTCAGTATATACTAAGATACTAAGACATCATCATGTCAGGAATTTACTTGCAACTCAAAGAGGACATTTTTTTAAATGACTATATGTAATTTGGACAATAATAAAAACTTCCAGGTAAACTTTTCCTAGACAAGAATGCTCTATCAAAAAGCAGCAGTTTATACTACTGTTTTCTTTTCAGGTAAACCGGTGATGATAGTGACAGAGTATATGGAAAATGGCTCTTTGGATACATTTTTAAAGGTAAGATTTGAAATAGATGTAAGTATTCAAAGTGCTATTCATATATTGGCAATAACATTGAAATTAAAATCCAGCTACCTTAAAGACAGAGTTTTAAGTAGAAATATCTAGAGTCAGGATAATTATACTGCAAAAATTAACTTTGGTTTGAAAGTTGTCCACTTGAAAAACCTTGTACAAATCCAAATTACGTGTTTCTACAATTTTATTTACATGTATGTTAATTTGCCCAAAGTAAATAAAAGAAGGAAAGGAGGAAGGAAAGGAAAAAAAGAGAAGATTTTACAAGTACTTAACTCTCTCAAAGTATATAATATCAGGCAGAGCAAGGAAAAATGTCTAGAGAGTCCATGAAAATCATCTGTATTCATGAAAGTGTCAAATAGATTCATACCTCACCTGAGGGCCAGCCACGCCTTGTACTAGGTATTATATGATAGTAGACAATAGTCAATGTCAGATCTTCCAGATTTTAGAAGAGTTTGTTTTTAATATGCAGGTCTCCAAATTTTAAATGTTGGTAACTCATTTTATTAGTAAATAGCATGTGTTAGACAATGTAACCTGGGCCTGATTAAACTGTAGTCAGGTGGCTTTTCTCCTTCAATGTAGCATCTATTGCTCTGGATGAGAAAAGTGATGGTTGGCAGCTTAATGGTGATTGTAAGAGGGGCCTGTGCGTTGACTATGACAGGTGTCCACTGGCAAGGCAAGCTTCCCTTCCAATCTCTATCCTCTACCAGATTCTACTGCCAAATTTCTTACAGATAAATTCTTCAGTCTCTTATCGTCGTATCATTCTTTTATTTCAAAATAAGCATCATTTGGGCCTAATTCTGTGTGTCTTCAGTAAGTCCAGTGCCCTTGACAAAGACAGCAGGTTTCCAAGAAATGCTAACATTGTCCTGGTCATTGCTTGGTCCCCCTCCCCCTGACCTTCCACCTGCTGCTGCAGAATCTCCGTCCTTTCATCCGGCGACTTTGTCTGTCACCAGTATGCCTATCCAGCTAGCTTCTTTTAAATGACTTCAAAAATGCACAGTGTTAACCCAAGGCAGGCATAAGGCTGGAGTGATGAACACACTATGCTGATGACTGAGAAGAAAAGAATTACAATGTGGAAAAGAGCAACTGAATAATATTTTGGATGGGGCTTTCAAAGCCGTTATCTGCTTTGACCAAGCAGGGTACTGATACACATTACCAGGTTAACTAGATATTGCCGAACTCTTCCCATTCCCTTCAGATAGAAATTGCACGTGAATTTGGTGAGAGTGGGCATTAATTTGGGGTTGAAGGAAGATCCTTAAGTATTTTTCCCCAGTGATTGCTGTTGCAGAACTAGTATTTCTGTGTCATCTTCACAGAAAAACGATGGGCAGTTCACTGTGATCCAGCTGGTCGGCATGCTGAGAGGCATCGCTGCGGGAATGAAGTACCTCTCCGACATGGGCTACGTGCATAGAGACCTTGCTGCCAGAAACATCTTAATCAACAGTAACCTTGTGTGTAAAGTGTCTGACTTTGGGCTTTCCAGGGTGCTGGAAGATGATCCCGAGGCAGCCTACACCACAAGGGTAAGATCTAACAGAATGCATTTCTGAAATACTAGACTACTAGACTAGGGGCGTTTAATATTTAAAGATTTTAAAGGAAAGAGCGAAAAAAAAAAAAGCAAAATTCCTCCAACATAGGAAGAAAGAGAGAAGGGGGAGGGTGGATTAAAAAATCCAGCCAATTCTCCTTTCCTTATCAGAAAATTCAAATATTAAACTCAGATAAGCCAAGTAATCACATTATGAGTTTTAATAGTTCATATTTTTCCTACAGATACTGAAAATAAAAGGTTTGAGTTTAGAATGGATACAACATGTAAAAATCATATAAAGAATTAAATGTAAAAGGAAAAATTAAAGCGAGACTCTCCTACCTTAAACGGGGTGGGAAGGGATAAAATGGGAGTTCAAAATTTGCAGGTACTAACTACTATATATAAAATAGATAAATAAAAATTTTCTTCTGTAGAGCACAGGCAACTATATTCAATATCTTGTATAACTATAATGAAAACGAGTATGAAAAGGAATTTTGTATGTCTATGTATGACTGAAATATGCTGTACACCAGAAATTGACACAATATTGTAAACTGACTATACTTCAATAAAAAAAAATTTTTAAATAAAAAGTATTTGTAGGAAAAAAGCAACAAATATATACATATATTAATGTATATAAGTATATATTTATTCATATTATATGTGACTATATAATATATAATCATACTATATATGAATATATTAACATGTGTAGCATTTTTGAATAGCTTAAACTCGGCACCACAGTTTCTTTACTTGTAAAACAAATATGGAAATATCTAAATCTACCTTTTTTTTAACTATTCACACAGTAGGGAATAAAAGAGCTATTCCTTCAAAAAGTTTTGATTTACTAGAGGTATTTTAATGCCTAATTACTTCTCTTTTATACCATGTAAACTGTTAAGCCCATATCTATGAAAACTTGGTCACTAATCCATACTGTCATAATTGGCATAAATCAGCATCCTTTTCCAGCGAAGTAATTGATGTTATATAATCAACAGTTTTGGGGTTTTTTTTTTCCTGTGGAAAACTGTGGTATTGGTGCAACAGAATTTCTCTGGGAAGTTTATGCATTGTACTTCTTGAGTTTTAATCTTTTTTATAAACTAGATTTGTTTAATTCTAAATCTTTTCAATATCCTCAAGATATCCTCAATGCTTAAACTCCCTGTGAAGACAAGAATTTGTCATTGTATCTTTCAGTGTACAATGTGGTTAACTTTATTTCAATACAGAATACTTTAGTCCTCTTTTATTCTTATGATAGATGGTATATATTTTCTTATTTAATCCAACATTTTAAAATTACTCCTACTCATACTGTAATAGTAAACTCTATTCATAGATTATAAGGCTGTCTTTTTGTCATTATTGCAGTGTGACACATGAAGAGTTAAAGATTATACTATGCTAAAGATCAAGAGTGACTTACCTAAGCAAACAAATCTTTCAAAGGGTCAGCTTAATAAATCAATAAATTAATTGTTGGGATGCCCCTCTTCTTCTGGACCTAATTATTGTCATTATTTGCATTAAATGAAACCTCAATTAGGAATTCTCCTCGTAATAGAGTCATGCTTAATAAACTTGGCCTAAGCAAGGCTGAGGTTACTGAAAAAGCCATTCCCAGTATGATTGGTTGGTGTCTTAGTTAAATGCATAAAGTAAATTTGTCAGGGTCTGTGTCAGTGTGTCATTGCTAGTGGAGAGAAAGGTGGAGGGGAGTCAGAGATCCTGAGACCCTCAAGATTTACTCCCTTGAAATGGGGCATGGTGGCACTTTGTGGAAAATCTCTCTATTGAGAGATGAAATGATAAGGGAGCTTCAGGTAATATTGATGCACAACATGATGGTCAGAGGACCAAGAGAAAAATTCTAGGCTGAAATTTAAAGTAATCAACAAATTACCATTTCAAGCAGAATAGTAATAATATGTCATAGACTATCATGTTGCTACATAGCTGAACCTAATGATGTGATCTTGCCTATGAATATTTAATTAACAAAAGTATGTTTCAGAAAAGTTTTCTTAAAGTGATGTTACCATATTTCTAAGAAGCAAATAATTCAAACTTAGTATAAATATTTCAAATTAACTTCAAGTCACAGAACAATTTCAAGCATTACATGAAACTGCTGTTTCTTCATAAGTCTTGAAACTTTGGCTTATATAGAGCAGTTTAAGTCCCATTTTTTTCTAATGCGTGAATTAAATTGTTCTCTTCCCACAAAGTAGGAAGGCATATGTTAGTCTTTTTATAAAAAATATTCAAAACCCACATTTCTCTCTCCCTCTCTCTTTCTGTCTCTCTCTCCTTTAATGAATTTTACTTATAAATGAAATGTTTGGTTGCCTGGATTTGCCTGCTTTTAAAAATTAGGAAAAAGAAGTTAACCCTGAAATGGCCAGGATAGAAAAGTGTTTAATTTGTGAACTAAGAAAAAACTTACCAAATCTTTTTTTTTTAACCATGTAAAAACCCCAAACTTGGTAATGTTGTAAATTTTCCCCATAATTTAATTTTAATAATTTTCAATGTGGTTGAAATAAATGAGATACCTACCTCTTAGGTTAAAAAAAAAAAAACAGTTTGACCAAACAAACACAAAGATACAACAATGGCAAATTAGGGAAATCAAGTCTAAAAGAAATTGTGCGATGTCAGGAGAAATTACTAAATATTCAATATATCTGGTTTTCATGCTTATCTTATTAACTTTTAAACTTCTCAGGGTTGCATCCAGCAATCAAAGCTTTCTCTTTACAATCCTTATATTAAAGGGGAAAGAAAGCACCCTGGGAATTTGAGTCCTTTACTTTTGAAGAAAGTCATGAAAGTTTACCTTCTTGATTTGCTTGACTGCCTGCTTTCCCCACTTAGAGCTGCCATCCTGATACTGTAATTGAGATGTGGGTCTTGTATGTGTTCCAGTAGTCAAACAGAATTTAAACCAGAAACCTTCCAGACAGCCAATTAGTAGTCAGTCTACAAGTGCTTATGGGCTGAGATATGTGAAAAGAGACTGCACGCTGTCACACAGATTCACTTAAAAATGCTACATCTCTTTCTAGATCTTTTCAGCGAGGCAGCAGTATCCCCAGATACATTTGAAGTGTGTGGGTGAGAATTTTTTTTATTCTCTTTTCAATTTTAGGGAGGCAAAATTCCAATCAGATGGACTGCCCCAGAAGCTATAGCTTTCCGAAAGTTTACCTCTGCTAGTGATGTCTGGAGCTATGGAATCGTCATGTGGGAGGTTGTGTCTTACGGAGAGAGACCCTACTGGGAGATGACCAATCAAGATGTAAGTATGCAACAACTCCCCCTCAAGTTTGAAATGAAATACTTTGCTCTCTGAGTCAGGAGACATTTTATATATATATATATGTATTTCTGAAAGTGATAGTTGCTTAAAAAGATGAAATACTCTTTGCTTACCCTCTGATCCATTTTGTTGTTGTTAAAATACACTTCACGCAGAAGCTCAAAATGAGTTAGTACAAAGGAAAGCAAGTTACTGTTATATAAAAGCTTTGTCCCTTGCCAGACAGATCTAGCTGTACTGCGGTAATGTTTCACTCATTGTATGTCAGTATCATTTTCAAAAATGAAGAAAGAGCCTTCAAAGAATGAATACTGACAGGCCAGTTTTTATGACATGCATTTGATAAAGGGAGCTAATCCTCCAAACCAAAAGGATGAATGATATTGATTTAATAGTGGATGCTCTTAGGGGATAAAAAAAAAATCTCTGTTTCTTTACATTAAAAAATGTAGGAAGAGTTGCATTGCCTATTTCATTTAGGGAAAAAACAGATTTTTTTCCCACATGGATAAATAATTCAAGCCTAGAATAATAGAATCCTGGAATTAAAAGAACCATGAAAGAAACCTCTATTCAAGTTCAGAATGATGCCTGACTACATGGCTCTTTGGGCTTTGCTTTTGTAATTTTTCCATTGTTACTATTCAGTACAGCCCTTTTCATTTTGGATCACACTGAAATTTGATGTTTTTTCTTCAAAAAAAAAACAATTATGAAAGCTAACATTTATTGATCCCTTACTATATGCCATACACTCTTTTAAGTGATTTACCTCCTAGTAGTCATTAATTCTTTATAAGACCAGTATATTGAACAGTCTTATCTCAATATCATGCTGATTTAAAACATTTCTTTTTTTCTCCAATTACTTCTTTCACCCATGCTCTGTAAAATTTCCCTCTCCCATGCCTTCAGGGATTATTAGACAGGTATACAGCTCTCTGACTGCACTTTGTTGAATCACCAGTACCATGCCACTAATTAAGACTCACTTTCAGATATAAAGATTCAAATCCAGTCTAAATAAGGTTCAATCCTATATCCACTTCAAAGTGTTTCCACAACTGCAGGGCCAGCCTGACACTAGGTAGCAAGATCAGGAAGGAAGAATTGTCAGATTTTTGCTCTCCTCTCTGTAAGTTAAAAAGGAGGAGGTACTCCAAGTCTCAGAGCTCCTCTCACTGGCCACCTGCTCCCCACCTCACAGTGCCTTACACGTGTCTGCTTCCCCTCAAGGAAAGCACAGTCCCGCTGGACGTTCTCCCAGTGTTCCCGCTCTTAGAGACTGTTGCGGGTGCCTTAGCCAGCCCGCCTTCTTCAAATTTTCCCAGTTGAGAAGCCAGGGTCACACTCTGGCTTTCCCAAGAAATATTCCATAGCCTTCTTCTCGGATAGCGATAGTCAAGGTAGGCTGATGGACTCCTGCCTCTCAACAAGCATACAGCAAGGCAGTGAACCTCCCCTTCTTTTAGTTACCTAAAATTGAAAATGGGTTTTCCCTGTGCCCCACTCGCTTGGCTTAGTGAAGGGATGCTGACTTGTGTTTCTCTAAATTTGAGAGAATATAGGATCTATTGTCTTCAACTTTACAAGTTTAGGGACAGGACTATAGCTATAGTATTGAACTCTTGTTATAGATTTAACAACCCGTCAGAGAGATACTGTTATTCCCATTTTGCAGTTAAGAAACTGAGCCCTAAGAGGTTAAGTGACTTTCTTAAGGCCAAAAAATATCAAAGTTATACCAGGAATTTCACACTGGTTCTCCAAAATTTTTACACCTAACCACGACACAGTCTCCAGTTGAATCAATGTCTCTGTCCTCCCTTTCATTTCCAACCAGCGATCCTAGATCAGCCTTCTAAGTGAATATAAAATATTCAATTCAATATATAACGATTACTCTGGATTGATCTAGTCTAGACAAAGACCAGACTTATTTGCTACTTTCTACACTCCAGATAAACGACAAATGCTAACTTGAGATACATGGTTTGGCTTCTCACTTTCCAATGTCATATTTTCCTCTAGTGTTTGTAGAAGTATTGTATTCCGTCATGCCAGCAAGCCTCCTCCCTTCACTCAAGGATAGCATTTGTCCCTTATTTGCCTGGTGTTATAACTCCTTCTCACACTTGAGATATTTTGAATTCTGATTCTGTCACTCAGAATTCTTAGTCCTTCCCAACTATGCGTATAGCGTTGTTATCCACATTATTGACAGTTTTGCCTGATACAGCTGTATCTGTCACAAATAAAATAACAGATCAAAGTAGAACATGATGCCAGGTAAATGAATGCTCATAAGTATCTCTGCTATCTTGACTGCGCTTGCTCATGCTTCTGGGGATTGGCTGATCTTTGCCAGTACACCTTGGCTCTGCTCCAAGTGGCCCGTATCTTTGTTCAGAGACCAGCAGGCTAGCCAAGCTATGAGCTCATTTACCCCGTGGCTGAAGGGTGAGAATGAGTCCAATTGCACTTCAGCCGGCAGCTTTCCACTGTCCAATCCATTAATCAGAGAAGCAGTCCAATCACGCTGCTTGTTATGAATAGACAATATAAAGCTGCAGGGAAAAGGACAGCGAAACAAGGTGTGAAGGATTGGGGACAATTTTTTTTTTTCTGATTTCAGCCATTTGAGTCTTGATACTCTTTCAGATAAATTTATTTCAGGCTATTTAGAAACATACAAGGGAGTGCTGATATAATATTTTCAAGACCTTATAAAAATAAAAACTAATATTTTGGCTTTGGCTGGGTTTTCCAAAAATGTAAATGAGGTTTACAGAAAATGATTATACAATTAAAGGTCTTTCTAAAATGTCAGCTTTTATTAGTGTCTAATACATGCTTTACATTTTCTCAGCAAGTTCACTATCACTTGTGGCATTTAGTTTCTAGATACGCCGTTAAGTTTGATATGCCTCAATTTCTATCTACATACGTATCCAACAATATAACAGATCTACTGCATTTGAAAATCGTGATTACTGAATATCTCTTTTGGAAAAAAGATTCCCGGACAGCAAAGCAGAAATACTGATTTGGAAGTTTTGAATGACGTATTGCATCATCTCTACATGCCAGATACTGTCTGAATCTAAAAGGGCTTGGCCACCACAAAGAATGTTACATTGCTAAGACATGCAGAATAATCAAAGTCCCTCAGAGGAGACCTTCCGCTGTGTAAAGGGGACAGAATGCTGCAGTAGGTTTCTTTTGATTTAGGATTGCCTCTGTCATCACAGAGAAAAACCATAACAACACATAATGAAAATAAACTAAAATGACTTAAGATGATTTTAGGTAAATATCAGACCATGAACTCTGATTCAGGCTTGGGAAAACTAAGATAATATCCTATAGTCAGTAGAAACTTCTTTGTTGACAGCAAACATTTTAAATGTCAACATTTTTCAGAACTTAAAAAACAAAATAAGAGATTTTCATTGCATTACATTTTTATATTTAGTGAGTCTTTCTCATGTATTTATTCAGAAATGTATGAATACATAGTGTATACTAAGCACATAAATTGCAAAACGTTTTAAAAACTTATCTAAGTAATCCGTTTTTAATTTTTTTTTAGGAAGTCAGTTTTCTATTACCATTTATGTTGGCCTTGATCTTACCTTTAAAGCAGCAAAAATATTTGACTCCAAAAGGATGTCAGACCACTTTGTACTGGGTGTGCTTTCTTCCTCTTTCTATTCTTTGTTTCAGTTTCTGATGGGATAGAATGATAATGTGTGTGTGTGTGTGTGTGTGTGTGTGTGTATATAATATTGCTGGAATTTTTAATAGTAAAACAAAAAAATATGGTAACATATAACATGTTGTAATTAAAGTATGAGGAATTTAGTTCTCATCCAAATACTATCAATTTCCACGATTTGACATTGAGCAAATTATTCTTAATCTCAGTGTAATAATGTCTAAATTGAGCTGACCTGGAGGGATTATTTATATCAGATAAATGAGAAAATATTATAAATCTGTTTTCCCCACAAGAAGAGCCAATTGTTAAATATTTACCATCACATCACTACGTATGTGATACATCCATCCTTCACTGTGAAGTGGATGTTCTAGTTGGGTGATAAACTAGGTGGGATTATGTGTTCGTGTCTCACACATTCTAACCTTGTAATGCTGGCTGGGCTCCCTGGGTGGCAAAAGCAAACCACACCCAGAATAGGTATATGTACCTGAAAGATAAAATTCACCGACCCTTACATGATGGAAGGGACCCAACAGAGTCACTACTCAGTGAATAGTGCCATAGTAGGTGCTCAGTGTTGGGTTTCAGGTGTTGAAAGGAGAGGCAGCATCCTTTAAATTATGTTCAGACTATTGATTTACATGCGATGCCAAGAAAATGCATAGCTTATGATCTTTCAGGTGTAGAAATCTGAAATAATGCCAGATTGTAAGAATTCTGGTTTTATTTTTTTCTCTTTGTTCATCTCAACCACTTAGATTAATAAATGTAATAGTAATAGTAAGGTAAACTGAGATTATGAATCATTTGGTCATATATTAAAAATTATATGGTAAAATGAACAGTTTAAATTGCACTTTAGTAAAATTCCAGTATTTCACAAACCACCAGGGTGCTAACACCATTCATTTCTCCCCAGAGCTATGAAAGGAACAATAGGTAAAAATGAAAAAAAAAAAATCACTTCAAAATGTCTAAATAGAAAATTTGAAGTGATAGCTCTGAATCTATTTTAAATATAAATTCTAAAGATGAATTTAGAATTAAACTCATTGACCTAATTACTGGGCCAAGTTTGTAATTAACTTAGAAACCGAGTATTATGTTTACATATAAAAATTTAGCTGAAAATAAAGCTGTTAAGTAATATAGTCTGGAAATAATTTCTCAGACCAAATAATTTATTAATTCCTTCAAAACTAAGAAATTGGTTTACTTTATTCATTTCATAGTCACATATGAAGACTAGCTGCTCAGGGAAAGAAAGATAATATTTTAAAAATTAGGTGCTAAAGAAAAAAGGTAGAACTAATTGGTTTCAGCTTTGAGGAAAAGCACGGTATGAAATATAATAAGTAAATAAGAATGACTTTTCGTAAATAAGAATGACTGTTTTCACTGCATAGGGAAATATTTGATGATAGAAACTAAGACATTTAATTTTGGTACATATATGTTGCTAAAGAGAATAACCACTGCCTTTATCAACAGTGAACAGTCTTATAATAAGCAAATTAATAATAAATGAACTTCAAATTATATATGAGTGCAAATGGTACTTTTTATTTTTACGATTTATTTATTTGAGCACCAGTGATAATAAATAATTTCTCAAAATTGATTCAGCATTTTTGGTAAATTTTTATTTCTATCTATTTCTTATTTATTTGTTGTCTTATTTTATTTCTCAATATGCATGAGATTTTAATATATTAGACATGTGAACCATAAGTTACAGTTTTTGTAATATTTTCTACTAGGGTTTGTCTTTTAACTTTTTGTATGTTTTTGAGTTAACTAAGGTGGTAGATGACTCTTAGGTGTTTTGCTCATAGTTATTCGATTTTTAACCTGACTATTTATTTTTAGAGTCCTTGAGTATCTTGTATTTCTCTGCCTAAATTTAACTATTAGTGTTTCTCAGGAATCTTTATTTTATGCCCTTCCTGGGGAGATATAAACTACACCCAACTTCAAGCTGTGACCAAGTGCTGATGACCCTCACATTTATAATATCAGCCCAAAAACCTCCTGTACTCTAGCCAGATTCCTGCAAATGGCCATCTGTAGTCCCTTTATTCACCTCAAATAAAACAAGCCCCAAATTATAGCTGTCAACATTTCCTACCCCCATAAATGTGCTTAGCCTAAAATTAACAGCAATTGCCATCCAGTGTGAAAGGCTTGAACTTGTTTTATCTCAGATACTTTCTCTATACCCTCCTCTACCCAGATGTTATAAATGTCTCTTAAATCTGCCATTTCGTCTTCTCTCCATCTGCCAGAGCTTTTGTTCAGATGCCATTTCCGTTATCATTGAAAGACTGGTTTCCCTACAGTCTTTCAAAGTTATCTTTATAAAATTTCTATTCTAATCATCATATTTTTTTCCATTTCTCAAATCAAATCTAAAGTGTTTGTTGAAAAATATAATTAAATTTAACCGTTAAGAAAATAATTCCAATCGGATTTTGAGAAATGTGCTCATTATTATTGGTTTTTGGTTATCACTTAACTATCTGAATTTTAATAGTTGAATAAACCCTGTATGATTATGTTCAGTAGCATAAACAAATCTCTTCTGGAGTTAGGCATTTTTATGGCAGCAGCAACATTACAAATGTTTTTGATAAAACAATCTCACAATTAGACTGATACTCACATGTGTGGTTACGTTTAAAATCAATGACGTTTGTAAAGCCTGTGCTACTAAACAGTCATTCCAAATTCCTGACAGAAAACAGTAGATGATTATAAACAGCCAGACCTTGACATTATTAAATGATACATGAGACAGACATGCTAATCTAGCCTTTGACTTATCCATCATTTTCCATCCAGAAGTCTCTTTTGAAGTAAAATTATAATTGTCTTACTTTAAAAAATGTGATTCTACACATAATTTTTCATTAAAAAGACATTACCTTTTCAGAGAAATCACTAGAAAAGTTCATCTCTATTTGATTCCAGATTGCAAGGATAAATAAAGCATGAACTGTTTATTTGGATGTCAGTTAATTTTCCAAATCACCCTTCATCAAGAATTTAGGTTAAAAATTATTACCATTTATTTTTCTTTATAATATGTGAGGAAAGTCTATCTTTTTATATTGTGTGATAGCATATTTATTTCTCTATGCTATTTTATTTTACAGCAAGTGGAGTAATTGAAGATGTTAGAAATAGTGATGCTGGTTGTTATTCCAAGAGTAAGGATCAGAAAGAATGAAAGTTGAACACTGGGAAATTTCTCCAGCAATTCTGTACTAAATTTGTGGTTTGGGGGACTGGTTCTGTTTCACTCTATGCAGGTGATTAAAGCGGTAGAGGAAGGCTACCGTCTGCCAAGCCCCATGGACTGTCCTGCTGCTCTCTACCAATTAATGCTGGATTGCTGGCAGAAAGACCGAAATAGCAGGCCCAAGTTTGATGAAATCGTCAACATGTTGGACAAGCTGATTCGTAACCCAAGTAGCTTGAAGACACTGGTTAATGCATCGAGCAGGTACAAGGCCAGACCTGAGAGATTTTTTCTGGATATTGCTAATTCAGATTGATGACACAAATATCAAATTAGTGAAATTATTTTTACATACATGTGAGCCTAGGAACTTATATGACACTAATTTATATGAAAATAGTTTTTGCATAATACTATTATTCTTTTATAATGAGTGAAATAGAAATGATTAAATAATACTTAAAAGCACCTATACCTGATCTAATAGTATAACCGACGAGTTAACTATAGACAAATTCAGGTAGCACTAAAAAAATATCCTCAAATGTGTGTAGTTTCAAGTGCTTTGGACCCCACGTAAGTTTGGTTAGGGGAAAATAAGATTATAAGATCATGGGAGAAAGCCAATTAAGCACTGATCCAATTTTAAACCAGAGGTATATAACAACAATTACTCTGATTTTCTTAGAGTAGATTTCACTGCCTGTCATATTTTGTGAACACTGACAACTCCTTTAGGGATCCGTTTTTCTTATTCAGCTGAGTCCAGATATTTGGATAATCATTTACCGTGTAGTTTGAACAATACTTAAAACTGATAAATGAGTAATCTTGTTGAAAAAATTTATATGAGCAAATGAGCATTTTTTAAAAATTTCTGAATGCTTATGAATGTGTTTAAATAATCTTGCTTTATGTAAAGCATTCTTACCTTTTTTTACCTGAAAAATTACAAAACTATCCTCTCAAAAAAATAGATCAGTTTGATTCTGTACCGATTTTTATTTTCACTATATTCAAGGCAATTGTCTATCTTTACAAGAAAAGGTATTCTGCTGGTAACTGAATTGGCTGCCCATAGTATGAACTAAATAAGAAACAGTCTGTTTATAAAGTTACATAAGTTCTAGGATTCTGGTATAACATTTGTTCACTAGGCAAAAAGTCATTTTTAAATACAAATGAGGAATGAATCTTCAATTTCTGTTCAAGCATCATTAACTTTCTGTGGTAGCAACTGGCAAATGCATCTTAGAGATCATTCCTTATGTTGTTCCTGAAATAACTGCTTTTAAATTGTTTATTGTCATGTAAAATATTGTTTTTCTCTCATCTACTTGTTTGAATTATGTTAAGTTGTCACAAATGGACATAAGGAAGGGAAATCATAAAAAGATACTTTTATGTTCTAAATTATATTAATTTATCTCAGCATCATCATTATAGCTTGAAAGCAGTTTAAAATCTCCAAAGAATTTTTATGTTTCCTTGTTTGCATTATATAGAATTCAGCTTGCTAGGATTCATTTAAACAGATTTAGCTTAAGACTCCACAGTCACCCCTCTGTATCTGCAGAGATGGAAAGCAACTGTACTGCATACACCATTTTATATAATGGACTTGAGCATCCATGGATTTTGGTATCCACGGGGTAGGGGAGCGGGCTCCTGGAACCAGTCCTCTGCAGATACTGAGGGAGGGCTGTACCACTCACTGACCCATCTTTATTCAGTCATCTAAATCCTGGTTCTAGGTATTAGTTCCTGATTCATTGTCTCTTTCTTCCTATCCCTACCCATGTCACAAAACTAGATTTTTTAGTAACCATGTAGATGACATTCATAAATCTCTCAATACCTTGAATTTTCTTCTTTCAATGATTTTGGTCTCTAACCTACCTTAGTTAGACTCCTCTTCATAGCATTTTCTAGATTTGGCTATTACCCAAGAAACTGCAACTCTTCTATAATCTCTACTTCAAGATCCTATTCACTATTTCCTCCTGTATTTCTGTCTTCAACCAATCTTTAACTCCACTATTTAATGACTACAAATTACCACACAATATCTACTTATACATCCAATAAATATTCATGTGTCTACTCTGTGTCATGCTGTGGGCTAGGTGATGAGTATATAGCATTGAGCAACACATAATTGGGGGTGAGAGAGATGAAGCAAACTAAAAGCAATACAAAACAAACTTTAGTTTTGGAGTAGAGAGTAAGAGTGGAATTTAGGAGGATAACTGTGGGCTAGGGTAGTTGTGCAGGTAAGACATGATGATGTCTCGAACTAAGGTGATGACAAACTAAATGGAGAAAAGTGCTCAGATTTGCAATATATTGGAGGCAGAATGGGTAGTACTCACAATGATGGATTGTGAGGGGATTGAAGACAAGGAAGGAGCTGACTGTTGTATCATAGACTAGGAAGAGGAGCAGTTTAGGAGAAACTGGATGTGGAGGAAATGAGTATTCTGACTTTGGACATGTTGTGATGCCAATCCTGTGAGAAATATGAAGTAAGCATATGAATATACAAGAGAACGAAGCAGAAGATGAAACTGGAGAAAAAGAGATGCTATTTGAAACATGAAAGTGTGTAAAACTGCCTAAAGTAGAGTGGAGTTATAGCCTGAGTAGAAAAGATGCAGGACCAAATCCTGGCCACCTCCAGATTTGAAAGTCAGGCCAAGAAGCAAGCAAAGGAGATTGAAGAGAAGCATACAATATTATGGTGGCCAAGAAAGAGAGAACAGTGATTCAAAAAAGACTGAGATAAGGTAAGATGTCAAGAGGGAGGTGGTAGGGGTGGTTGTGCAATGTCTCTGGGAGGTCAGTGAACTTACATATTGGAAAATTCTTCACAGATTTTGACAAAATAGAGGTCATTGCTCACCTTAACCAGAGCAATTTTTATAGAATTGGTTTGGAAGACAATACACTTGGAGTAGGTTGAAGTGTAAGTGGGATGTGAGAAAGTACAGAGAACATGAGTGCAGAGAAAGGTATTTTGTCCTGTATCTTGTGGTTGAAATGTACTTAGGTAAACTCGCAGCGATGGCCATTTAAATTACTTTTGATGTTTACTTTCATTAATGAAAAAGTGTGCATGTGCTTTTTTGCCATTTTTCCTGATTATTTCCTTAGGATACATTTCCAGAAATCATCATCATCAATCATATCATATATAATTGACCAAAGAGTATAAATTTAGTATAGTTAAAAGCATTGCATGATTTGGTAAATTCCATTCCATTTTCTTATATATTTGGAGTTACATTTTATTTTCCAGTTCTACTACTCCTAGGTGAATTAACAAGCACCCCTCTGTGTAAGAGCACAAAATAAAGGATAACTAACTTCTGGTCTCCTAGGAAATTAGCTTAAATGAGCATGAGTTTCTCTAGTGAAGTCTAGAAACGATTGACTTTATACAAATTATCCTACATATCTCTATTTGGTAGCATTTTCTATATTATTTTTATAAAGAAAACAATAGGAGGATGTAAATATATCTAAGTCACTAGATGGAGTTTTTAGCTAATATTTTGTATGACCAGAAATTTACTTATTAAGACCTATTATATGTCTTCATTAACTATAGATAGAAAAAAATCTGAATAGACTTATTTTGTGTTCTGTATTTTGAGTTATTTTTTCCTTGTTAGCATTTGTATATTTTTCTTCTATAAATGTGCTTAAAGGCTCAAAGATCTATTGGTTATGAGGTAATATTACAATATAATCTTTTAGGAAAAATTTAAAATGTTACTTTTAATATTTGTGTTTTATGTATTTTAGAGTATCTACTTTATTGGCAGAACATGGCCCACTGGGATCTGGGGCCTACAGATCAGTGGGTGAATGGCTAGAAGCAATCAAAATGGGCCGATATACAGAGATTTTCATGGAAAATGGATACAGTTCAATGGACGCTGTGGCTCAGGTGACCTTGGAGTGAGTAATTTTTTCTGATAATTTTTACATAATTGCTGGGGCAAGAAAACTTGTTCAGAAACCAATCTGGATGAGGTCAAGGGAAATCGGTTAACCTTGTGGCAGCTTTCAAAGAAGCCTCTTTATTTTTAGCCTGTATTGTTAACAACTGCATGGTTTAATGCTACTTGTGGCCAGTATCTTTGCTGCTTTGCTTCAAACAAATCACATTTGAGTATTCAAATAATTGGAATAACATCTCCTTGGCAAAATACTGGTACTTTGTGTTGTGGAAAAGATGTTTTCTTGACAAAGTCTTTATACTGGAACCTATGTTATATGAATGTAAATACAAAATAAAACTGTAAGCACAATTGGTGTGGCTAGCCCTACAACAAAACACGTTCTCAAATAGTGGCAATGATGGATACCCAGGCAACAGCAGCTTAAATAAAGCTTCCCAGGCAGGAATCTTGTTTACTCTCTAAATGGTGCAACTTATATTCTTGCAGTCCAAGGATATATTAAATCCTGCCTCTAATTTCTTATTTGGTACAATCTCAGTGGAACCAATTGTGCCCTTTTCTGTTTGCACGCTTAAGATAAAATTTATTAAATCTTATTAAATAAAAATCACTAGAGTTAAAAATGGAATTCTTTAAGGTTGTAAGTTGTTTGTATTTTATTATATAATCTGTATGTGTAATTATTTCAGACTAATATTTGTTATTTGTGAAAATTAACTGTCATTATGGTGGTTACATCTAGATTACATTAACACGAATGATGTTTTAACCTGTGACTATAATGATAACTTACTTCAAATTACCTACCAATTCAAAGGTTAAAATATTGTTGTAAGGTTTAAAACATGGTAGAACATTCTAAAGCACTAAACCACAGTCCTCTTCCATTACTTCGCATCATATGTACACTTGAATGTGTGGGTCTCACCATTTCCATCATGGCATTCTCTGGTTCTTTGAATTCACTGTCCATCCACACAAAAGGTAACAGGGTACCATCATTTATCACCAAATAATGTCACATTCTCAGCATTTCTCTTCTTTCTTTCTATAACTAAAAAGATCTAAAATCACCACTCAGCTTGCTGTCTTAATTTATTGAATATCATTTTCACCATCATCACTAAATCATATCTATTTGGTGACACATATACTTTGCCCATTATTTCTCTGGACACTCAAAAACTCGTTAGCGCTCTATTTAAAATAGTAAACAGAAAATTTTACTGATAATTTAAAACTATTTTTACATGATTGCTATTTAATTTTTCAGTAAAAAATGGTCATTTTAATTTATTAAAGTCATTTGTCATTTTATATTAAAATGATACTGTAGGTATTTCTTCTACCCGATGTCAGATTACTTGTAAATATATAATAAAATTATTTGCATTAAACTATGTCTCTTTTTTTATTAAAATAGCACATATACATATATATGTTTGTATCATTACTTTTTTGCTTCTCCCTACACAGAATAGTTATAATCACCAATAATGGTTTTGCATTAACTACCTGTCTTACTTTCTTTGGGGGCCCAAAATACTATAAATATGTTGAATATTTTAGAATTATGGTTTCAGTTTTCCTAATTTCTTTTAATTCTTTTCTCTTTACTTTCCTATTTACTCTTCTACCTCCAAACTCTCCCATCTTGTGTATTTTCTTTCAAGCCCTTAAAGCTTCTTCTATCTTTGCGTGATGGTCTGCACCTTATCTCTATTCTCCAGTAATTTTTGTCCAGTCAGTTCTTCTCTACTTGGTTCAATTTCTTCTGTCTGTCTCTGTTACTTTGGTAGCTTGCTGTCTCCTGCTATATTGCCTCCTTTCAAATATTTTGTTTTAATTTATTTACTCTGACCAAAAGAGTAAGGTAAAATTAAAAGACTTCCCAACATCTTCCTGTTCAGAGAATGTTGGTCTCCATGTGTCAATTGCTTCAGTTTCCTGGGACCATATATTCCTTACTAGGAATGGAGCCAGCCAACCTTAACTCCAGTGAAGCTGATTTCTTGAAGAATCCAACACCTTTTAAGTATATGTCCTCTTGTTCATTGGGTTTCTGACCACATTTTTTCCCTGTTAGTAAGAAGATATTTATCAAAATATTTTATGTTAAATAACTCACAAAATGGTGGGTAATCAGTTACTTGTTTGGTCAGGAATATAAGAAAAAAATTATCTGAGCACTTTGCCTGCCCTTCACGAAAAAAGTCAGTCATTATTAAAGATTATGGCAAAGGAACTAAGATATCAGTAAAGAAATACAAATGCTTAAATACTTAGATAATGACTTCTTTACACATGGTCTTTGCCCATATCTATTAATTTTATGTGTGATACTATAATAAAATAAAATATTAGTGCCAATGTTATTGCCAGAGTATAACAGAAACTGAGAACCAGAAGAATATATTTATAAATGCTTAGAAAAACTGAAATTAATTAATATAAAGCAAAAGATCAAACTGTTATATACTTATATACGTAAAACATGTTATAACTTGTGCCATCAAATTTGTTCTTGTGGTGTGTTTAAAATAAGGAAGAGTAAAAAATTAAAATTTTTCAGAACCCCATACTTGGTTAAAAATTTCCATCAGAAAAGTTTAATTTTATTTCTGGTTTTTTGCCAGCACATATATATATGGCTTGATGTGGAATAGAAATGAAGAATTTCGAGATCTTAGAGTTAAAAATGTGTTCAGTGAAAGTGGCTTCCAGTCTTAGATGTTTCCGTCTGCGTTCTCTATGCCTAAGCATTGCTATTCTGTGTTCGGTACTCATATTAGAACAATTATTGTAGCAGTAATGGCTCAACCTGTACTATGGGGTTTAAGTGCAGTGAGTTATGGACAGGGGAAACTGTGAGTTTGAGGTGAGTTGTGAATTTAATCCAAAGATCTGAATAAAGAACAGTATTACAGCTGCTTTTTAAACCTTGTGTCACACTAGTACTGTCAACTTTTGATTATTCACAAAGGGAGCCAAATCCAGTGAATTTAAATGTTATACCAATTGTGTGTAAGCTGAAGAGTTTCCTAATAGTAATCATTTACTAAAATGGGGTCTTAAAATATGAAAAGGAAAGTGTCACATATCTAGAGCCAAACTTTGTGCCCACTAATTTAAATAAAGTCTAAATTACTAATAAAGTCATTATGCATAATTGATTGTACACTTAAAATACGCACAGGAGAACTTAGTATACTCTGTGTTCTGCATAGTTAAGCTAAAGCTTGTAGTCTAATTCCCACAAGTTCTCATCCATTGAAAATCATGACCAGGTCACAGTTAAATCTTCTTTGGCCAAATGTAGATGTATATAAATGTATGTATATATATTTATCTTGTACAGTACATGTATAATGATTATCAGGATTCTTCTAAGTGAACCCCAAAATTCTAAACATATAACTACGTGATAAAACTCTGACAAAAAGAATAAACACTGCAATTTAATGAATATTCATTAATCTCTACTCTCCCTTCTTCTATCCAGCCAGTGTCGGTGGAGCTAAATACCAGTGATCTGGCTAAACAGCATGTAAAGCAGAAGGGAGAAGGATGAGTAAGGGAGCGGTTCCCCTCCAAATGGATGTATGGCATCCTGAATAATCAAGAGTTGGCTGCAACATCAATTAAACACCTCTTGTTATACCCTACTTTTCATTCTGCCATTTTAACACCATAAAGCAGTGTTTTTCATTATTTAATATTATGGAATAGCACTTGAAAAAATGCTGAAATGTCATCACAACAATGGCAATTCATTATATTGGCAGCTTTTCTAAAACAAAGTGTGCTTTGTTGACAAAACTCAAACTACTTTTTATGTAACAATATGATTCTTATCATGTTTAGATTCATAAGCCTATGCTGAAAAATAGTTTATCACCATTAGAATTGGCTTTGGGTATTACTTAAGATTACACGTGGTCATGGTAAAATTAGTATATTTGGAAAGGGGACACACCTCAAATTTTGCCTAGCTATAAAAATTCCTATATAGAAAAATGAAATGAGTAAAATAGCACATCTTAAGACATTTTCAGTTTTCTTTTCAAAAATTATTGTAAATAGAGCAGCACCTTCAGCATGAAATGTAAAATATTTAATTTTTATCAAATTTCTCTCACACTATTACTGCTAAATTGACCATTTGATATGTACTTTAAGGAATAAAGTGGACATTGTTGGAAATCACTAAAGAGTTAGACAACAACATAAAAGAAAATACTTTAATGCATTTATCAATATTGGAATAAAGTTATTTAACCTTTACTAGAAACATTTTTCTAATACCATTTTAATTCTCATTCATAATTTCATTAAAAAAATATAAATGGGATTCTTAAAGAAACTACTTTGCTGCTGAGAACAAGTTTAACTTGCATAAATGATCTTATTTCTCTCCCACTTCTTCACTGATAATCACATTGTATAAAGGTATATGTACATTTCATGCATTATGGTCATGCTGTTTTCTAAATCTCTTCATATTAAATTGACAGCTTTTGAAATGACAGGTCAGAATTAAAAAACAGCAGCATTCCATTAAAGACACATAATTTATGGCAGTATGTAAAACTCAATGCTGTATGTTCATAATTCTGTTTATCCCATAGAAAGAGAGGTAGAGGTGGGAAGTGAGGTGGAGGAAGAGGGGGGTGGAAAGACAGAGAAGTCCAGAGGCCTGACCTTCCATATGAATCTTAGAACAATCAGATCATAAGCTGACCCTGAAATAAAATTTTACGTTTGGGAAAATTTAAATAAATTTAACTTAAAATCTAGAAATATGAAATGTTCTGAAGGACAGGTTTTATTTGTCTGTAAATGCAAACTCTATAACTGTGTTTGTTAATCAAATACAATTCCTCAAAACATTCCTTCTTTTAAAAAAAAAAGTTTTATTAAAGTTCAGTCAATTTACAATGTTCTGTTAATTTCTGGTACACAGCATAGTGATTCAGTTATATATATGCATATATATTTCTTTTCATATTCTTTCTCATAGGCCATTACAAGATATTGAATATAGTTCCCTGTGCTATCCAGGAGAACCCTGTTGTTTATCTAAAACATTCATTCTTTAGCATGATATAGATGTCGCAAAAAAATTAAATTCTCAAAGCTCTGAACCAGACTCTTATGGTCAAGTTATTTTCAAAGAATGAAGTTATGTTTACATGTAATATAATAACAAGACAGTGGAAACAAAAATAAAATCAAACTAGTGATCTAATAGGAGTTGGACAAAACAACCAAGAGTTGGAATATGGGACACACACACACATACACACGCACACACTTCATGTTTTTGTATTGTATATGCAGAATCATTGCTGTGTGAGCGAGAAAAACCTATAAAATTTCTTCAGATCTTTCAGGATAAACTATAATAGCTATTTCCAAAAACTCATTCCTAATAATTGGATTAGCCATTTGAATTGTGCAGTTTAAGTACGTATATGTTAAATCAGTACTTTCAAACTTGAATTTGTCAGGGTCACTTGTGGGTTTATAAGGCATACGATAAAGCGTAAGTTTTAACCTTCATTTCAAGTACTAATTATTTACATTCTCTAGTAGATTTCTCTCAGGATAAGAAATTTTAGTCTCTCTTCTCCTGACTTAGGTTCAAAGTCTGGTAGTGAGCATCCATGAATGCCCATATCTTCATAGTTCTTCATGATGCAAAAGTTACATGTGGAAACATGAGAGTATTAGCTGGCCCATAACTGAAATTGCCCTGAAGTATAGATTAGGTTACCATAGCTTCAGTCAAAGATGTATGTGTTGGGTTTCCTTCATTAGATACCTTCTTTCTTTTAGAATTTTGGATATTTGATGTTTTATCTACAGAGTTCTCATTTTGCAGATGAATAGATAATTGTATGCAATTTAAAGTTCTTTGCTCAAAATTGTATCTCAGAGAAATGAGAAATTAAGAGTATGGACTTTTGTCTCAGGTTCCTGGTTTTAGTCCCGGCTTTGCTAAGACTAGCTGTGGTATTTAGCCAAGGGATTTAAGTTCTCTAAAACCTTGTGTCCTCATCCATAAAAGGAGATTAACAAATATCTGTATCATAAGGTTTTCCTAGCATATACCAAGAAGACATCTTATCACCTATTTTTGTATTTATTGCAGTGGTTCTCAATGAGTGGAAAATTTTCCACTCGGGACATTTGGCAATGTCTGGAGACATCTTGTCACAACAAAGGGCCAGGGGCTGCACAGCACTTTTGGTATTTAGTGGGAAGAGGTCAGGGATGCTGCTAGATGTCCTACAATGCACAGGGTCGCCCCTACAACAAAAAATTATCCGGCCAGTGATGTTAACAGGGCAAGGCCCTGATTTCATTGAAAAGACACAAGATTGAACCCAAGCTTTTTTTATTCCTGTGTTAGTTTGTAATTAGTTATTTTATAGTCTATTCGTAACTAACAATGTTGATTTTGTTTTCAAACTGAAATTTTAGTGGTTTTTAAGTTTTGCTGATGATTGTCTTCTGAACCTACCATTATTATTTTTTATTTGGTACTCTGGTGTTTAATAACTTCTAAATTTAATGTTTAATATTTACATTTTAAGAAAGAAATATGCTTCCACCATTGGTATCCATTGCTTTTTTTTTTAGTGATTTGCCATTTGCTAAAACTCTCATAAGAAATTGAGAGCATGAAAAGAAAAGGACACCTAAGATATTATTTAAATAGACAATTATTTCCAATACTAATACATATGGAGCTTAAATACCCATTTATTTAATTTTTACACTCTGATAATTAAGATTTCTTTGAACTTCCAAAGCTATTCAATTTTACATGTTATGATCCTAGTGTCATTGTATCCAATTCTAAAGAATTCCAAAACTACCTGAAATAAATACATTTACTAAGTGCAAAGATATTCTACTTTTCACATAATGTGTTCAATAGAGTAATTATCTAAAGAAATCTAACATAGTAAACATCCTTGTCATTTAAAAATCTTGAATTTCTCCTGCTCTTTTTTTATAATTAATGTTATTATTTGTCAAACATTCCTGCATCATTATATTTGCCAAGTGCATATTTTGGGAAAATAGGATTCCTGAGCATCCTGTGAAATAACATTTAAAAACCATGAGCACTGGTCTTGAGCTCCTTGAGTTGAGGAAACTAAACATTTGTAACTTCCTTTTGAATAATAGGATTGTTTAAAAGAAGCAATATTAAAGCATCTTGGTTAAAAAGACTTCTTGATAGTGTGTAATCTTCAGAATGCTCTAAATGCTGATGGAGCCTAGATGTATTTGGTAAAGGAAGAAAGCGCTGCTACTTTGGATTCCAAGTAAAAACTAAATATTTGTAAGTGTTACAAGAGCAATGGAGTGTTATTATCCCCTAAAGATATCTGTTATATAAAATGATTGTGCTGACTGAGTCATTTGAAAAGTTTGGTCTTCAACTAACTGCTTAGATATGAAATTTTTTTAAGTGTATTTTATGCTTACTTCTTTAAGCAAAAAGAAAAAGTGCTTGTTCATATTGTAGGTCCACATTTTCAGAACCGTTCAATGAAATTGTACCCTTTAATTTAAACATTTATCAGTGAGCATATGCAAATTTGTTTTTCACCACTCTCTACCAGCAAAATCATCATGTCCAGAAAGGGGGGCAAATAAATATCACTCTTGTGATAAATATTTCTGTGACTGCAAACAGATTTTCAGGTACAATTTTAGAGCCTGCTTTTGAAAATTGGACCCTGTATGTCTAAATTGGGACTGTAATCTAATTGGTTTCTGCAAAATGTTTGCTTCTTTGACAGCGTGAAATGTTGAGGTATGCTACAAATTGAATCAATACATACATCCAATGTGTGCTTTCTTCATGCAGGGATTTGAGACGACTTGGAGTGACTCTTGTCGGTCACCAGAAGAAGATTATGAACAGCCTTCAAGAAATGAAGGTGCAGCTGGTCAACGGGATGGTGCCGTTATAACTTTCTTTTATTGTCACTTCGTTAAGTGAATGATTCTGCACTTTGTAAACAAGCCCTGAGATTTATTTTAACAAAAAAGGGGGGAAAAAGGGAAAACTCAGTGATTTCTAAACCTTAAAAGAGCATTTGTTTCAGCTACAGAATTTGTAATCAGTGTTTTACTAAAATCTCTTTATCTTCCTCTCAGTGTCTTCATTTTTTCATGAAGCAAGTGTAACCTGTGTGAGATATGAACATGAGGTTAAATCTTATCTTATATTACAACAGCAAAGTCCTTCTCACTACTACAAATTTTATACAGGAAATATATAAGTATATATAGCACCTTTATAGACTGAATTAAGGCAGCCCCTTTCAAAACTTCCAAGAATCTACTTGAAAGGAAAATTTTATAGCCATTTGTGGCCTAACACAAGCTGCAATTTACTGACGTTTACTTCAAGTCTTAATTGTCTATGTAAGTGTATTGAAGAGCAATATGGTTAGATAATTTCTAAATAGAGATCTTCTTTTGTAATTTTAAATGCTGTTACACAGCGTTAAGTTATAGAAACCAGTGTATAAACATTGCTTGATCAAGGACAAGTTCAATACAGGGTGTATATTTATTTTTCTGTGTTATAAAATTTACGTTTAGTTGCTCTTCTAGAAACTACTAGGTAATCAATGTATATATACTGTATAATTTGCTATATACCCAGGAATCAATTTAAGTTGTAGTTTTGTGTGTGTGAGTGCACGCGCGCACATATGCGTATTACCATTCTGCTTGCAGCGTTAATAGTGTTTTCATTTAGCAACATCTGGAACAAGTGTTCCCGAGTATAATAGGAATAGGAGAAATAAGGAAGCGGTCAAACAAAATTCAACACAGGCTCATGTCTTTTTTTTCTCTCATGTGTCCAAAAGCTACTAAATCTCCTTATTCACTAACAGGAAATTTCTATAAGACTAAATCCCTTTTAGCATTTTAAAAACACTTTCTGATATCTGTGACAATGCGGTTCTTTTAGCCATTAATCTTGCACCCCTGTAAGAAATTTCACCTTTCTGAGTCCCAGAAAATATCTTGTCAAGCAAAGTTGACACCGAAGGGCACATTTTCAGCAGGATGTAGAAGGATTTAACTGTGCAGACTTCTGTTAATGTTGTTAAATCCAGCGCATGGCACCAAGTGTTAATCCTTTGTAACCATTCCCCTTGTTGCTCAGCTCTAGAAATTTTGATACTAAAGCAGCAATGGAATGATGACAAATATGTATTATATTTTTTCCTTTTAGAATTGTCTCTATATCAAGACTTGACAATTTTTATTTGTTGTTTATTCATTTGATAATTTCATCTTGTGTTCAGCTATATCAAATTGACTCTGTTTTGATGAGCCAATCCAAAGTATTATTTAATTGGCCTTATTAAGAAATATATGTCCTACAAACATTCTATATACCACCCTTGGTGAAGACTGACATTTGTGGTACAAATTAAACAGTTTATTAGAACTTGAACAAAACTGAGCTCCTTGGTGAAATAACCAAGTCTTTTGTATTATTACACTGTATAAATTATGACTGACATGATTATTCAAGGAGCACAGCATGTAAACAAAACACAGCCTACATACGATTACCAATGGCAGTAGTGTATTGGAGTAGCCTGCATCAGGGACATCCATAGGGAATATGCCTGCACTATATTGTTGGTACTCCCTCTCTCTTTCCCAAGCACCTGTTTCAGTTGAATGTTAGCATATACAAGAAGAAACTTTGAGGACATAACTTCTTTCTACTCTGTCCACTTTTTACTTAAGTAGCTCTTTACTAAGGAATGGGGGGGAAAAGGAAAAGAAAATGTTTAAAACAATTTTCAAATGCTATATTCAGTCTTGTCCAATTAGGGGTATAATTCCTTGTTGGGTCTATAGTGTACCAAGGAATCCACACAAACTAAATGCTAGTATACTTTTGTTAACTGACATCTCCAGAGAAAACAGAGAGAGATGGATTTAACTTTGCCTTGATAAAATCACAAGTAAGCAGGCATCACCATGATTAAAGATGCATTTGATCATTTCAGGAAGCATAAAAGTAACTAAACTAATTTCTTTTGCACAAAATAGTTGGAGATTGTGTTGCATTTATTGAATTTTGTAAAAACCAATCAAATCTAAATGATAAAGTAACAATTGAGAAACTTCAAATTAAGAATAGATTTATTGATTTAAGAGAAGCTATCGTAAATTTTAGAGCTGACAGACTGGCCACAATACTTATACATCATAAATATATTTAAGTTGTTTTCCAGACTTACATGTTCAAAGATGATTGGGAGGTCAGGATGGATGGAGTATGTTGAAGTGATTAAAATTTGAAGTTACAGTATAGATTTCCTCTTTTTCACAAAAGAACATTATAAATTAATTTGGATTCAATTTATTTGCTTCCTTTGCAGCTTTGGTGTATATTTTGGACAGTAAATTGAGATGAAAGTTAAACAGACACATAGCTTTCATCCATATCTCACTTTGGTTGAGAATTTTCTAAGGAATGTCCATATGATTTGAGAAGAGGTATTCCTCCGCCCCAAAAGAGGAAAGATTTCCTTTCAAAAACATGTGTTCACCACTGGATATGTCACCAATTGGGAAGTGCCAATCTCATCTATGAATGTGAGAAGTGGAACAAAGAGACAGGCAGCTTTTACGACATGCAGTGAGTCAGTGATCCGGGGCAAGGTTTGACAAATCTTGATTGTGTGATTTCTTATCCTCTTGCTTCATATTGTCACCTACCAGACAACTAAAAATAAAATATAGATTCAGTAATTTTAGTACGAAAGATGGATTTGTCAAATTAAACAATGTTATTTTAACTATTAGTAGCAATACCTTTAGGGCATAAGTCTTTCTCGGCATTTAACTTAGAAAAATAGGCACAAGCAAGGAGTAATTTTCAACTTACTGACATCTGTTGAAGTCACTCAATTACTACTTCTATCAATTGTAATTTGTTTCCTAATCTCGCCATTTGCTCATGACGTATAGTTATTCTTCTTGGCCATTGAAATGTATGAATTGTATGTAAAAATGTAGAAACTTTGATTTTTCCCATTTAAAAAGATGAATGTGCATGGTCTTTTATTTCTTGTAGTTGATTTACTAAGTCAGTGTTCCAAAGTTGTAGGATAACTGTAAAAATTATATTCCAATATTCTATCTAAACTTAAATGTGGCCAGCATTAGTAGTTTCAGAGTTGCCAAAACAATGCAGAACGTCCTTAACTCAGTATGTAAAAGAGTTTTAACCAGTGTGCAATGATGAAGAAATAGTTTCCTATCTCAAGTTTAAAATGGAAAATTAATATCAGTTGAGCACTTAGTGTGTTTGCATGTCTGCTATCTAACCTCCACGTGAAAGTTAAAGATTTTTTTTAACACCATTCTTTCTCCCATTTAAAGTGGGTTTTCAGAAGCACAAGCAGAGATATTTACCTGTGGAAGAAATTTTGGGCTGTAATTGTGCATTGAATGGCAAATGCCATTTGAGTCAGATGTTAGAAATTTACTAGATGTTTGATGTTGCATAGTAGAATAAGATCCTTTTCTCATTTTGTTCCTTCTAAAAATAAGAAAAAAGAAAGCTAAATATGATAGTAAATTGTCTTTGCTTATGTCCTGCCAGATGTTTAACCTCAAAATAAATTAAAAAGTAGGTACAATAAGATGATGATGATGATAATGAATAAACAAAGTGCTAGTTTTATTTGAAATTAATAACTAGTCATCATTTTTTCAACTCTGTAGCACAGCTGGTTACATTGAATATTTTTCTCTATTATGCTGTTAATTATATAGTAATGTATCAAAGCAGAAATAGATAAGAAGTTTCTTTTTATTTCTTGTTCATTTATGAAAAAGTCTTTTTACACATAAATGATTGAATGTTCTTGTTCAAAATGACCACATAATTATTGCTTAGGAGAAGACACCAATTCTTTAAAAAAAAAAAAGAGTCCGTTTATAATAATCAGAATCAAATGTCATTTGTCTCTTCTAAATGTAAATGAAAAAAATTGAAGGTGGCAAAATATGTCATGTTTATTCAGACTGGGCTATATTATCAGTAGAAGTTTCAGTGGTCAAAATGTTTGTGCATCTTTAGACTGCTATAGTTTTACAATTACTTATTCTAAAGTGTGTAAATTTCATTTATAAAGTATTAAAAGCTAGACTCAGTCATTTGTTAATCTGTTTATTGAAATGTTTTAGTTTCAGGCAGGTCAGAAGCAGCTGTATAACGAATCTTATTCTCTGTTAGGCATGGGGACATCTCAAGTCCCTGCCTCAGTGTTAATTCAAGGAAGAATCAGCGTTTCTGTATTTTTTCCCCATTTGAAGCTATGTGCATTTGGTTTGTGTACATGTTTTTGTAGTGTAAGATACGAAATTTTATATTTTTTCAGAAAATAAAAAAAAGACTTTGAATACAGTTAATTCCAATTGTCATACTTGACCCTTCCCTAAAGATTTTAAACTTAGAATCTTTGTATAATGATTTTGGTTCCTTCTGATAAAAATATTGGAATTTGCAAAATATTTAAACTGCAATTAACATCCAGTTTCCCCAAAAACATATTCATGAATCTTTGCATTCATATATGGTTTTGCAACTGGAGTTCTATACTGAGATTGTAGGACACTAGCATAATTATGTGAAACCTAATTAGAAGTTTATTTGTGACAGTGTTATACAACATTACTTGAAAAAAAATAACCAAGAAACTTTACTGTCTACAAAAAGACTTTCCTATGACTTTCTCATCAACAAGCCTCTGCTGGTGGCCTGGGGTGAAGAGTTTCATTCTTACAGGAAGGGGTGTCGTTAAGCACAAACGCTCCCTCTCCTTTGTGTATGGTGCCATATTGGTCTCCTTTTGTAAAGAGAATAGCCAATCAATAATCTGCTGTATTCACAGAAATGAATCGTATTTGTATTTTGTTTGTATTTATATTCATAAAAAGTGACATCACTATGCCTACGGAAATTATCTATAACTCCTTTGTGTATAAAATCACTATTACAAGGGTATTTGCTTTTTACTCATGTAAAGATGGAATTCTTTCAGCAAGTAGACTGTTCTTGCTCTTGCTTTGCCACAGAGTAAAGACTGTGATAAACAGGACTGTCGCCCAATCCGATAGGCGCTCTTGACCAGGTAGGAGGGATGAGGTAGTGGTAAAAAGTTCACATTTAACAAAAACACACTATTTTGTGTTAGAATTTTTCACACTTATTTTTTGAGATACACTTTATTGTCTCTGCTTTACTGAGGAGGAAACCATGACTCAAAACTGTTAAGAAATTGCCCAAGGCCCGACTTCTCATTAAAGGTAGGATTAAATCCACAGTTATCTGAGACCAAAAGCATGACATTTTTACCACACTATTCTGATTCCACACCATGCTATCTAGATAATGGATTTATTTCAGCCAATCTTCTAATTTAATTGATGTAAGAACTGAAGGTTAATGAGAAAAAATGTAAACCTTGGGTGGGAACCAGGGTCTGACTGATACATTCCTAACATATTCAGTTTTCAGAATAAGCCAGACTTTGGGAGTTGAAAATATTTTTTCTTATTTGTGATCTACCACTGAGTCACAGCACAATCTAATGCAGTATATTTTTCTAGTATATGTCAGAGTTAGAAAATTGTCATAAATATGTATTACTTAATTCAAGCTGTGATTTTTGAACTTCAATTATGAAACTTTGAAGTCTACAGGTGATTCACTGCCAAATATTATTATTCAAAGTAAAATAAGTTGATGTTTATGAAAATCCACAGTAGTCATTCAAATTAAGCAGAGTTTTATATAAAATACTAAATGTATTTTTACTTGAATTTAGCAGATAAAAATAATGAATTGGAATGAAGTTGGCAGAAATACTGAAATATGGATGAAATTTTTTTTCACAGCAAGAGTTATTAGTTCTTAAATCATCCCTCTAGTTTTCTTAATAGTTGACTGTGAAAAATACTAGTATGTTGGGATTAATGTCAACTTGAAGTTTCTTAGTGATCTTTAGTTTCCAGAAAGTAAAAATTTTCATTCAGTCCTCACAAGAGTTCTTTGAGTAAGACTTTTATTCTCTTTTTCTTTTGAACAAAGGAGGAAATGGAACCCATGCAAGTTAAGTGATTTGCATCATATCCCCTAACTCATTATCCCTTCTCTCTTTTAATGTTAACTCTTGCCTCGGAGTTCCAGGTGATGCTCTTTTCCCCACATGTTGTGGAATCTGCCCTTGAATATCCTCAGCTTCAGTCTCCGTGGCTCCCTTTACCTTACCCTGCACATCTATGTGAGGGAGCACGTAGCACTGTGGCTGCCTGGAGCCACTGTGTCCTATCCTGCTGTCACTTAATTTTTGTGTGATCCCAGGCAAGCCATTTAACATCCCTGCTTCCAGTTCCTTATCTATTAAATGAGGAAATAATACGA